TGGTGTCCGCCCTTTTCCGCTGGCCATGCAGCATTTCTATTCATTTGTTTCCCAGGTCTGTCACTGCTGGTGTCCGCCCTTTTCTGCTGGCCATGCAGCATTTCTATTCCTTTGTATCCCAGGTCTGTCACTGCTGGCGTCCGCCGGCCATGCAGCATTTCTATTCATTTGTTTGCCGCTGGCTGTGCAGCATTTCTATTCATTTGTCTCCCAGGTCTGTCACTGCTGGCGTCCCCTCCTTTCGGCTGGCCATGCATCATTTCTATTCATTTGTCTCCCATGTGAATTGGTCTCCATTCTTGTTGGCCACTGTGTCGGCTTGTCTCCCTTCTGTATCCTTTTGTCTCCCTTCTTGTTTCCCTTCTTGTTGTCGCTTGCAATCCTTGACATTTGTCTCCCAGCTCTTGGCTGCTGTGTTTGCCTCTGTCTTTACATGTGTCTCCCAGCTCTTGACTCCGGTGTCCGCCCTTCTTGTTGGCCACTGTGTCCGGCTTGTCTGCCTTCTGTCTCCTTTCGTCTCCCTTCTTGTTTGCACAGCAGCCCAGAGCTGGGAGACAAATGGAAAGGATTGCAAGGGAAAGGTTGGCACCCGCGACAAGAAGGAAGACAAGAAGGGAAACAAAAGGAACCAGAAGGAGACAAGCCGGACACACTGACCAACAAGGAGGAGACAAGACCGGAGACAAAGGGAGAAGGCGGACACAATGACCAGCAAGAATCCTTGACATGTGTCCCTCAGCTCTGGACTGCGGTGTCCACCTCTGCCTCGGAATCCTTTACCTTTGTCACCCAGCTTTGGGCTGCTGTGTCCGCCTCTGCCTGGCAATTCTTTACGTTTGTCTGCTGCTGTCTGCACCCCTGCCTTGCAATCCTTTACATTTGTCTCCCTGTGTCTACATTTGTCTTCCAGCTCCGGACTGTTGTGTCCGCGTCTGCCTTGCAATCCTTTGTTTCCCAGCTCTGGACGTCGCAAACTCTAGTTGCAGAGTGTTCCGATTTTGAAAAACGCAGGCTGTTTGGGGTCTACGGTGGTATAATTTGGTGTACTGTGCCATTGTGAATGGATTTGTCAACAAGGCTGACGTCTTGCTGAGCGATGCGTCAAAATCCACAGCGCTGCACTACGCTGCAATCCATCACGAGGAAAGGACCGCAGGCTGCTAGAGCCATTTCTTCCCATGGGAATGCTAAGACTGCTCTAGTTCATAGTGCTCATGCTGACGATTGGCCAGAGTCTAGGAGCCGTGCCTCCAAATGTTTGTGCTACAACGGAGGGCCACAATCTTCACAGGTTGAAATGTGCACCCTTCTTTTGGAAGCAGCGGCTGATGCAGACTCTAAGGATGCATACGGCCCAGCACTAAGTTATATGAAGGCGGTGGGCTCTTCTGACGGTGCTGTTGTTAATGAGGCCGAAGTGTGTGGGACATTGTCAACACTGGCGATTGTCTGAGGTACAGTATGCATTTGTACATATATATACATATGATCCCACGTCCTCGTAGGTTAAGACGAACTAGGTGCATCGGTTCTTTTGTAGGGTTTGGGCTCACAGCTAATGGGCCTTTGCCGCGATTGTGGTCTGTCCTCGGGAGACGAGACCACCTGCGTGTTTTGCAGGGTACGAACTCGTTGGTGGACGGTTTGTGACGACCTTCCCGTTCCACTTCGCGGCTGGGCTATATCCTCCATCAGGATTTGGACTGGAATTCTACAGGAGGAGAGCGAGAAATTCCAGAATCCCAGCGACAGCGCGAGGAGGCCGAGCGCACGGCATCGCCCAAGAGTGCCAGCCTTGCAGCACCGGCGCAGACTCCTAAGAAGGGGAGTGAGCCTCGGGGAGAAGCTGACCGTCCAGACAAGAGCTGGCTAGAGCCCAAGAAAGAGAGGGATACCAACAAGAGCCCGAAGGGTAGGCCAGGAGTGGTTGACCTTAGCCCAATAGAGGAGGAAGGGAAAGCCTCAAGTGGATCTAAAGTTGTGAAAGAAGATCGAAAGACATCAAGGAAGAGGAGCCGAAGCCACAGGACAGATCCAGAAGCCGGTCGAGGAGAAGAAGGCGAAGGAGTTCTTCACGAAGGGCCAGGACGCCAAAAGAGGACAGAGGACGAGATAAAGAAAAGAAGGCTAAGCCGTCCGTCAGACCACCCAGGACGCCATCAAAGTCACCACCAAGGGTCAGGGGAGGACCTCCTCCTAAAGAACCTCCAGTACCAAGGACTTCAGGGCCACCTGCTCCTGTAGCCCGACCATCTGGTCGCTACTGGACGGGCTCGTTCAAGGCTTGGCGAGAGCCCCAGTACTGGGGAACGAATAAGGGAAGGAAGAAGAAAGAAAACCAATACTACGGAAGTCGGTAGTAGAGGAAAGGTCTACACC